ACACGCAGGTCACGGGTTGAAGACTCACAGGGTCAACTTGATACTTGTACACAGGTAAGGTAAGGTCTGGGGATCAAACTCTGGGATCCGCATCGGTGACTGCAAAAGGTGAAAACCGTTTCACTCCTGCCGGCCTAAATTCGAGGTCCACCGAGAATACTTCAGTCTAAGGCAGGACCTTTTGCTTTCTTATCTCTTTTGTATGCTCGGACTACTTCGGGAGCTGTTTCTAGAAGTTCTGTTCATGTACACCAGCGGTCGTCCTCTAGTTCCTGAAAAGCGAACCTGACTTTATACTGTTTCTGTGGACGACCCCTACCTCCAGTTCTGAAGACATCTTCACCTATGATGCCGTTAATGTTGTACCTTCCGTCCATGTCCGGAGGAATCATGGACCTCCGTGACGGAAACTGTTGACTTGTGATACAAGGCAGCAACTTTGACGCATGAAACACCGGGTAGATGTGGAGGTGAGCTGGAATCTCAACTGTGTAGGACGGCCCATCCTCTCCGCCCTTGACTTCTAAGACTGGCCAGGGTCCTCGGTATGCAGGCAGTAACTTTTGCGAGATGTTCTCCTCAGGAGCAAACTCTTTAGACTTGACCCAGACGAAGTCGCCTACTTGAAACTGTGATGGGCAACTGTGCTTATTAGCTTGCTCTATCATTCTATGTTGGGCCTTCCTGAGGTTCTCTGTAACGGTAGCAATCTCCTTTTCATAGTGTAGTGAAAACTCCCTAGTACCGGGCGGTAGCCTCTGAATCTGATCCCGGTTCAGTCCCTCAAACGGTCTACGCGGTCTAAAGGACTTATGCAGCTCGTTGGGAGTGCGACAAGTCGTTAAATGCACACTATTATTGTACGCGCTGGCCACCTTCGGAAGCATCTCACCCAATTAAGCTGATCAGGTCTAATATACAGAACTTGCTGCAGGATTTTGTTCATCTGTTCAGTCTGACCGTTAGTCTGAGGATGACGGCCAGATGACATTAACAACCTAGAGCCATAGACTCTCATCAATTCCTGCCAGTTCTGACTAGTGAACTTGGTATCTCTGTCACTAACTATTGACAGTGGGAGACCATGTTCACCGACCCAATGATCGAAGAACTTGTCTATAAATAAATCTGTCCATGCTTCTGCGGGTAAAGGAACAAAGACTGCATATTTACTGAATCTATCAACTACAACCATGACTTGGTTCTTGCCATTCCGACTCTTGACCCCAACATCCATAACGTCAATGGACACAAAATCTTCGGGTCCTGTGGGAACAGGCAAGGGTCGGAGAACACCGAGAGGGGCCCGCGTAGTGGTCTTATTCCGTTGGCAGACTTTGCAACTGTGGACATACTCTATGCAGTCGGCTTTCATACCTGGCCATGTATACGCGCGTATGAGGTTGGCTAATGTCTTTTGCCAACCAAAATGTCCCTTTGAGTCGTGGAATTCCCCTAAGATCAAACTGCGGATCTCTTCACTATCAGGAACGCACAAACGGTCAGCTACGTTAGTCTTCTCGAATAACAACCCATCTGTAGTGCGGTAATCTGGTCCAGCCTTTGGAGCCTCCTTGACTCTTTTGAGAAGGTCACTATAGATAGGGTCCTACGCATACGCTTCCTTAACTTTCTGTTGCAGGTTTCACCCTATATCCAAATAGTGAACTATCGCTCCAAAGTAATCAGCCCTCCTACTCAGAGCATCTGCAACAACATTATACCTTCCTTTCACTGGCTTGAGCTCAAAGTCAAACTGATCCATCTCGGCGGCCCACCTAGTAAGCTTAGGTGTCATCTTGGCCTCAGTCTTTAGCCATCTCAGCGTCTCGTGGTCTGAATAAACTTTGAGGTGCCTCCCAAGCAAGTTGTGCTTCCAATGATCTAATGCTTGCCTGAAGCGTAGGGTTCCCTCTCATAGGTAGATGTCTCAACCTTCTCTGAAGGCATCCTAGTAGACATGAACTCTACGGGTCTATAGCCATTGCCATCATCTTGCTGTAGAACAGCACCTATACCATACTAGCTGGCGTCAGTGGTGACTACAAAAGGCAAAGATGGATCGGCTACCTTGAGTACTGGATACTCTATCAAGGCCCGTTTTAACTTCTTCAGGGCCGATGTACAGTCTCTATCCCATTTCCAAATTGCCTCCTTCTTTAACAATCTTCGAAGGGGTGCAGCGATGGTGGAGAAGTTCCTCACGAACTTTCTATAGTAGTTAGCTAGGCCTAAGAACGACCGCAACTCTGTCAATGTGCGGGGCATTGGCCAGTCTCTGGTCACAACTATTTTTCTGTCCTCAGGTTTTATGCCATCTCCATCTAAAACGTGGCCCAAGTATAAAACTTGTGTCTTGTCCCACTCGCACTTCTTCGCGTTAATCTTGAAGTTAGCTTCCCCCAACTTCTCCAAGACCTGCCTCAGATGGCCCTCATGCTCCTGGAGGGTCTTACTAAAAACTAGAATATGATCTAAATATACTACTACAAACCTATCTAACCACGACTTGAACAAATCGTTCATACAACGCTGGAACGTAGCTGGGGCATTGGTTAGTCCAAAGGGCATCACTATAAACTCATAGTGCCCATATCTAGTCCTAAATGTCGTCTTGTACTGGTCATCAGGATGTACCTATATCTGATGATAACCAGATTTTAAATCTATCTTTGAGAAGTACTTGCAACCCTGCACCGATCTAAAAGATCATCTATACGGGGCAGTGGTTCAACATTCTTCACAATAACGGCATTGAGACCCCTGTAGTCAATACACATTCTAAGTTCTCCTGCCTTCTTGGTAACAACAAGGACAGGCACTCCGAATGGAGACCAATTGGGCCTAATCCATCCCTTATCGAGGAGCTCGTTTAGCTGCTTGCGTAGCTCCTCTAACTCCCGTGGAGACATTCTATAAAAAGCCCCCTTAGGGTTTCTACTGCCAGGTTCTATCTCAATGCGATGTTGCCTCGGCACTACTCCTGTAGGCAGCTTGGCTAAAAGTCTGTGTACTCCTCCAGCAGTTTGGCAATACCAGGATCTATGGGTTTCTCTACTTTAGGCTCAATGACAGGCCTAACATAGGCTACAAAAACCTGCTCTTCTAATTGCTCCTTCTTTACTAGACGCGCGAACGCGGGGGCACTGAGACAACAATGTGCCAGAGAGTTACCTACTACTGACACATGGAACAGGCAAGCAGTGTTAACTTCGCCTAATGGACTAGGGAGCCTACACTCGTGCTCTCTCAAGTGGAGTGTGGCCCCTGCTGACTCTCCCCAGTCCATTCCTAAGACCATGTCGAAAGGAAGGTTCTCCTCTATGAGGAGAGTTAGGGAATGGAGAACTTCCTCCACCTTCCCATCCTTCTCTAGGCGAAAGTACGCCTGGACTCCCTCTACATAATCCTCGACTCGCATAGTGCGGTTGTCTGCGAGGATACTGACTATGGGGTCTTCTAACTTTTGGACTTTGAGATTTAACTTCAACTTCTGCAGCACTTTCCTACTGATATAGCTGTGGGTGGCCCCACTGTTTATAAGGGCTCCTACTCTACCTCTAACGACCCCTACATCTACTAAAACTAGTTGTCCTTTCGCATCCTTCTTCATCTTGGCCCAGGCAGGCATCCTCTCCTTCAACTTTTCTGCCACGCATGTGAGGGAAGTGCCTAGAGAGACTCTAACACAAGCAGTCTTTGGACAACTGTCTAGGCACTAGCCAGCAACCTCTGCCATAGACACATGTGGTTTGGGAGTATCTATGTGGTGCACGCACTCTTCTCCACATGGTCTAGGGATAAGGGCAGCTGCAACCCTTACCAGCGGTTGCCTTTTGCTGCCTGTGCAGCAAACCGGGCTTCTCTATACTTAGGGCATTATTTTATAATATGCCCGGGATCACCGCAGTGAATGCACTGATCCTGGTCTATGCGACGCTGCCACACTGTTTGTTCTAAGCCCAAATCTTCCCAAGGCCTGCCCTGTGGCAGACCAAGGTGCCATCCACCTCTCCTAGGTGATCGATTGAAACTAGAGCAGTTTTGCGGGGGACCTTGACCCCTACTCCCGCTTGGCGGCCTCCTCTACCATCAACCCCCTGATCACCCTGTCCTCGACCACTGGAAGCCTGGCCCCCTTGGCCCCGGCCTCCTCCTCTTCCTTGCGGCCTCCCTCCAACCGCGACAGTAGCGTAAGTCCTCCCCTGACTATTGCCACTATCCTCTTTCTCTAGGCCCCACTCTATTTGATCATAGGGGACCTGTTCCATACCACCCTCATCTAATGTAAGGATCCGGTGATCCTTGCCCTTGATCTAACCTGAGATGGTACGACCTTTCCCTTCTTGCCCTTATCGAGGTCCTTATGCCAAAAAATGGAAACTGGCATAGATCGCGCTTCAAACGCTACCACTTCCCTGCTCAGAGTATCGTAGTTCATGGTGGATTCCTAGCTCTTCTCAAAGAAGTGCCCGCTCAAAGGCTCGGGCATGGCACAATAGAATAGGTCGACCGGTTGGATCTCAGTGACCCCATGGTCAGGGATAGCAACCAACTCATCCATTACTCCCTTGAGTGCCCTGACACTTTTCCACTGGTGTGAGTGGATAGTCTGGAGCTTGTCAGAGGCTCTAATCCCCCTAGTGACATCAGCAAATCTCTCGCGCAGCAGCTTAAAAAATTCGTTCAGGGGGGTGATCGTGGAGTACGCTACCATATCGTTATCGCATTTAGCAGCGCGGGCAAGCGATCTGGCGAAGCTTGCTGCTTCGTCTTTGAGAGCATGGAAGGCGATGAGGACTTGCTCCTCATGTATGATCTTTGGAGTCGATCATAAGAGTTAATGTTCGCCTCCCAGTTGCCAAAGTTCTCTTTCTTCTTCCCACTGTAGGAATCGGGGAGCTTAACTTTGACGGGGTCCCTACGGGGATGGGCCTCCTCCTCCCTTGGGGCGGCAAGCCTTGCGCCCTCTATGGCGCCCGTGCAGAATCGCTCTGTGCTCTCTAGCCTCGCCTTTACTTTTGTGCCCACGTGCATCATCATTTCACTCGCGAACTCTCTAAATCCCAATCGAATTGATCGCAAGGCTGTATCCTGGCTCCTAGTGAACTGATACTGCTCGTCTCATGCTTTAGCCAAGAGCTCAATATTCCTCGACATCACCTCCATCTTCCCCTGTATATTTGCTTGCGCCTCCATTTGCGCCCTTTGCTCTTTTATAGCCTCCAATTCTTTCGCAGCTTTACTTACCTCCTCCATTCTCTTCTTCTTCTCCATGGTTAAGCGCAACTTCCACTCCAACTTCTTCTCCTCTTCTATATTCTGGCGTTTTGAGGGGTCCTCTTCTGCTTCCCACTCTTTCACTACCGCCTCCTGTTCTTCCCTGGGGACGTATAACATTGCCTCCTCCTCTTCTCCCAGGGATAGATTGGCGACCCACTCGAACGCCTTTTTCTCCAACCACTGGTCCCCCTCCTTCTTCGTGCCACTGGACTCCCCTTTGTCCCTGAAACTCCTTCTGATCAGGGGAACTTCTTCTGCCACTCTTTTCTCTTCTTCTTCTTCTTCTGCATCCACTACTTTCATTTTTTCTTCCTCCTCCTTTTTCACCCTTTCAAGCTCCTCCTCCAACTTCTTCCTTTTCGCAGCCTGCTCCTGCATTAAGGCCAACTTTTTGGCCTGCTTTACTACCTCCTCTTTCTTGGCCTTCTCCTCGGCCAAGATCCTTGCAGCCTCCTCCTCCTGCGCCTTGGTATAGGGAGTGGTACTTGCGCCACCCCTCGTCTCTACTCTACACGTCATCGTGTTCCAGAATCCCAAAGGAAATAGGAGACGCCAGAGGGTCCCCCATAGGGAGAACCCCACGAGCAGACCGTACAAAGGGTAGTCATCCGTGGTGTTCGGTGCACAATAATGACTGTCCCACTCCTCACCACTTAGACCTACCGACTGACTCTGTGACTGACTCTCTAAGGACTACAGGATTCGTATAAGACCCTATCAGTTATGGTCTCTAACCTGGACCTAAGGCTAAGGCTGTCACTACAGGACTTCAATGTTGATCAAGAGGCATTTAAGGAGATCCCCCGTAACTCCTCAGGAATTATTTAATGTCGCAGACAGAACGACGCGATCAGCAAGTCCTCTCAAAACTTAGACAGCTTGTTGTGCAGCCCACAACTCGGATTTTGGGCCTACCATGCCACACTGAGCAGCCCACCGGTCTGTACCGGTCCTTGGGAGGGTTTGTCTTCCGGGTAAGTCAGTCGTCAGACACGGCCTTTAGCCCTACTCAGCCCGTGTGGGTTTGGTCAACAAAGCTCAATGACCTCATACACAGAGTTCCTATCACCTGGACAAAAGAGACTCAATCCAGAAAGAAGAGACAGACAAACTCGGCAAGTACCATGGGGTGACTGCACATCCATAGGGCAAGGGGACAACTCCAGCTTGGTCAAATTCGTGGTCAACGCCGGTCAACCCCTCAGTCAACACCTCCATCAACTCTCTGTCGACTCCCAGTCAACTCCCGGTCAACTACCGATCAACTCCCGGTCAACACCTTGGTCAACCCTGGTCAAATCCTCGGTCAACTCCCGGTCAATGCCTTGGTCAACGTCCAACTTGGCTATGGCTGCCAACCCTTCCTCTTCCTTCAACCTTCGCTTCTCTTCTCCTCCCTCCTTCCTTCTTTCTCCTTCTTTCTCACTTCACCCCGGCTATGGTTTCCTTCACTTTCGCCGTCCCTCCTTCCTCTTCCTTAGCTATGACTTCTTTCCTCTTCGTCTCTCCGTGTCTGAGCTTGACGGCTATGGCCGCCACCTCATGTCTTGGACTGCACAACCAATCTATCGCTTCTTCATCGTTGTCTTCTGTGCAGGTACGCGGCACCTCCTTCCGCGGCGCAGCTATAGCGGACTTCTCTTCTCCGATGGTGCACCTCAGCTATGGCGCCTAACTGGCGCGCGTCTCCTTCCTGCAGGCAACGACGATGGCGCGTGGGATAACAGGAACCAGCTCCGATACCAATGCAATCAGACTCGCTCTCTTCTTCACTTTGCATACATGTAAACAGATGGCAATACACACTGGCGCCAAGCGCCCACCCAACGCTCAGAGATATGGAACCCGAGAACACAGTTCAGATGCAAACTCGCTTCAACAGGCTATGGCGCATCAGCGCCTGTACATCCCAACTCTCGTCGCTGTGTCCAACACCACTGTTTGCACATACTCAACTCTGGATCACCCTGAATACCCCACACGAGTTCACTGTATCATACACACACTAACACCTAACACCATCTATGGCAGCTATGGCCGCCAACTACCACTAACTACAAGCACCTATGGCTGTGCTGATCTCCACCTCAGCCCTCTTCGACTTCAGGCCTCTGCAGACCACCTCGCACGAGATGCTAGGGCAGCGCTTCCGCATGGCTCACGCAGCAATGAATGAACGGCTGGGCGCTGCCTCTTGATTTATACTTCTGTAAGTCGTTGGTCTGGCCTTTTTCACCGGGCCCATGGTGCACACAGTCCCTCATGGTACTTGCTGACTGTGCAAAGTGAGACTGGGACTGGGTACTGCTGACTAAGCGAAGTTGGACTCACCACTTGCCCACTTGCCCACTTGCCTCTGGTCTGCTGTGCAAAACGTGAGAAGAAACTTGAAAGGCCACTTCTGGACGTTCCGGAAGTTTGCGGACTTCGCCTTTCAGGACTGTAGCAGCTACGACCTTGACCTTTCAGAACTACAACAACTATGACCCCTATGCAGGTATGACCCCTAGCGACACGCCCGGCTTTTTCGAAGTTTGAATGTCGTGCATCCCATCCCGCCATCGCCACTCAACAGCAGGGAGCTCGCGCCTCAACTGCGAGCATACACCATCGCCTCCCAAGAGTAGGGAGTTTGCGCATCAACAGCGAGCACTCGCCACTGAATCGGCCCGTGATGCTCAGAGTCCCGAGGTGGCATAACCAGTGCCATTGAAGCCGCCACCTCCATTGAAGCCGCCACCTTCATCTGACACCGAAGCAGCCACCCCCAAAAAGGAGACTGGAAACCCCCGAGCGCACTGTACGAGAATGAGGAGGCTGGAATCTCCCTATAAGGAGCAGATATCTCGCCACAGTCAACTGTCGCATTCATCCGTCAGCAGTAAGTACGACCACCCCATCTCCACAAGGC